TCCATGGTGCAATTGCCAAGTTTGAAATAGCGTCTTGGATGTGGTTTGGGAGATTAAGATAACTTTTTTTTCTCAGGAACCTTTCATCCAGGCCTGTATGACTTTCTTAAAAAGAAGATGTCCATCTATCCTGGGTGGCCTTGCTCCAGAAAAGGATCAGCCCAAAAGTGCTCAGCTTCCTCCAGAAACCTTGGCGACTATGTTGGCTTGTCTGCAAGCTTGTGCTGGGTAAGAATTACATTGCTTGTGCTGAAAGAGTAATCCATTTGCAGCTGGCTTTCTGTCACAGCTGGTTTGGAGTTTCATGTGGAGGATGGGGTTAATGAGAGTGTATAAACTTGCAGGGATAGCTGCAGGAGTACTTTTTATTTTGCATTGAAGCTTCTGTTGTAGGCTAGATCACAAGAGCTTGAGGATTGTCTTTATCATCAAGCAGGTGAGCTGATCTTGGTGACTGGAGGCTGTCTGGTTAGTCAGATAATCAGTTGTTAATGACTAGATAGATGTGGGGCTGTAATTCAGACAAAGGAATCCAGGCCATGGCTACAGAATGGGACAGCATCTTGGAAAACAGTGGCTTTATAACAGATTTTGTGATTGTGTTAACCAAATGTTTCTGTGTGGTAACTGCTTTGGCACAAAGGACTTACGCCATCCTTATGTGTAGGAGAAAAGTGGGGAGTAGTGATTGTGTAATTGAGACTGAAACTAAATGTGTGTATCTTCTGTTGTCTTTGAGACTCAAAGTAGTCAAAGATGGAAAACATTGAACATCTCTTGCAGATCAGATTGTTCAGCTGAAGTCAAAAGAAGAGGGTTTGGATTTGAGAGCTGCTAGAGGCAGGGGTAGGATACAGGAGCTACCTGCAGTTGGACAATTCAGTCTTTAAATGCTATATACACACATAGTAAATGTGACTGAAAGTTGTAAAACATCTGTGGTGTTGCTTCTTAGTGCTGTCAGATCAAGGTGTGTTGAACTGCAGCAATATTTCAGAGGTCATGAGAGGCAGCCTAGTGCAGTGTGTGAGCCTGAGTGACTGGAAGCTGGAGATGGGGCTTGTGCACCAAATGAGGCTGGCATGTCCAAGTGTGTTACATAATTTGGGGATTATAGTGTGTCCTTTGGCTTAACCAGTGTGGTCTTGAAAGTGATAAGAAACATCTTTAAAGGTACTTAGGATGATTCATTGCTCTCATGTAGGTAGTAGGAAATTAGTACCAACACAGGGTTCCAATAGTGAGTGTTGGACCTGAAAAAGAAGTTGAGGTACCTGTAAGACTTTAGGAGAAAAGAAAAGACTTCCTGTTTTCTGCTGGAACCTCTGCAATTGAAGTTCAAAGGCTGTTTCTAAAATAAAATGATCTAGCACATGTTTTGGTCAGAGAAGATAGCTCTTAATTTTCAAGTCAAAGCGCATCTTTTGAGACTGTAGTTCTCAAATGAACTTATATTCCTTCTTTTGCATGCTGCAGTGTCTGTGTTTTAGAGGTTTAATAGTTAACTATAGATTTGAATTGCATCTAATGTCATTGTGTTCTGAATTTTAATGTGTTACAGAGTTTTATTTATTCCATTAATTCCAAACGCCACGAGTTCTCTACTGGCACAATTCTCACAGCCTTTGGTTTCTTTTTATAGCTACTTTTATTCCCTTTTATACAAGAATGTGACCTACTTGCAGTCATTTTCTATTAGTTATTCTCTTTGAGCTTTAGAAAGAAAAAGCTTGGGTTTCTTTCATGAAGCAATTGCTTTGATTAACTTAGATTTCAGTCACAAATGGAAGCAGGCATTGTAAAGACTAGCAGGTTAAAATCACAGTAAATATGAAATACATTTGGGAGGGTAGTTGCACTTCACTAGCTGAAGCCTGCATCTCCTAAATCTGTAGTTAGTTCTTGTTTTGTGACCTGGGAGACACTTTTTTTTTAGCCACCAGGTCCCTGCATGTTCTGAGACTTATTTTTGGTGCAGCTTGTTTATCACTGGTGAGCGCTGCAGTTGTGACATCATGTAACAGTGAGTCTTCAAAAAGAAATCAGTGTTCCTTCTATTACTGAATGTTTTTACAGTGAAGTCAGGCTTGGTTGCAGGCACCACAGGCTGACCAACCGTGTAATTTATTAACAAGGTGCTTATGAAAAGTCCTTCCCTCGTGGAGCTGCAGTGAGTTGAGAGGGCAGCAGTGCCTTCTCCACATGCTCATGTCCTGCATGGTGCAAGGGTGTCAGTGTGGGGAATGGTCATTTCTTATCAGTCCCTGTCTCAAGCAGGGAAGGGGCTTCAGTGTACCTGGGCCTCAGGAATGAAAAGACTTGTTCCCACTTTGTAAGGAAGTGTTTGGGCGGAAAAAAGAGTAAGAGAAATGAACATGTGATTCCAGCAAGCTGGAACTTCGCTTACAGTGGCAGTTTTCTTGCTCCAGACTCTGGTCCTTGGCTGTCAGGCCTCCAGCTTCATTTGCCTGAAATGCAGACTGGGTTCTTTTGTGGGTTTTGGGTTTGTTGGTTGCTTGGTTTGGGATTTTGGCGGGTTTTTTTTAGAAAACCTGGAGTTCTGTGCTATTTAAAAATACTCTGATGTTTGCAACTTGATACAGCAGTGTGGCTCTTGACATGATAAAAAAGTTAAGGTTGGTGGGACAAAACATTAGTGGTTCTTTCCAAAGCACAAATGGCCTAACCAGTCACCATAAATATCCAACTCAGGGATTGGAAGTCTGTCTTTGTCCTCATTCTGGGCTGCCATATTATATATTTACAGCAAGTTGGAATTAGTTTTGCAAAAGCATGTTCTAGTATTTAAGCATAAAGACTGCAAATTTAACCCCCCAAAAAGGAGGAGGGCAAAAGACTGAGGTTGGTAACCACATGTGAACTGTAGACTCCCCTGACCCATTCCATGGCTGACTGAAGTGCTCTATGGTCTTGAAATGCCTCCTGCATCAGAAGAAATCCTGTGGTGCATTTCATGTGGTCATACATACATTTAAATGAGATTTCTGAGGTGGCTCAGGTGAGGGAAAATACATACTGTACATACTGACTCTACTGTGTGCCAAGCTCAGAGCTCTGTCTTCAGGTCTGGTTGCACTTTCTGAAAAAGAAATCTCTTTAGGGTTTTTTAAAGGTAGATTTCTGATTGCATTTCCATACATTCCCCCCAAGGCCGTTTGTTTTGAAGTCTTTGAAGCAAGGCTCTGGTGAGAGGTTGTCAAGAGTGTAAAGGAGCCAGTTTGTGAAACAGTTATAAACATGTCCATTGCCCTGTATAGAAACCTGGTCACCCATGGTACCCCCCCAGATTCCCATCTCTCATGGGTGGGGGTTTTCCCCACACTCCAGAGTGGATCCCTGACTCTGGAGAACAGCTGGCTGCCCTTAACTAATTCTGTGTGTCCCATAACAGGATACCTGCCAAAGCTGAAGGCTGATCTTCAGGTCTTCTGCCTTAATCACCAGCATGGTTCCTTTGTTCTTTTTCCTCTCATCCTAAGAGTTGAGCAGTAAAAGCTTGTGAAAATTGAATTGAAATGAGGACTATTCAGACAATGTTAACAGAACAATCAAGTTGTATTAGGATAGTTGCTCCATTACAGAAAGGAATCTGCAGCTTTAGCTGTCTGCACCAAAGAGGTATAACTAAAGTTCAGGAAAGCATAAATAATGTGCTGTTTTTTCCAAAAGGAAAATGTTAGTATTCTGTTATTATGTCTGTGGTCAGGTAAGTCAGCAACAGAGCTGGCTTTCCTTCCAGTTTGGGAACCTGGCAGTCAGACGTGGAACACTTTGGAAAGAGGTACTGGCTGCTCTGGGTTGTGCCTAAGTTTGAGTTTTCTGATGGTTTTTGGTTATATTTTCCTTGAATAGTTAAATTTCCTGTCTCTGTTTGGGTTTAGTGAAGCATGTCTTTCAGTCTGTAGGCAGATGAGTGTTAGTGAAGCAGGTGGTGGTATTTACCTCTTCTTTTTCTGTCTGTCAGTACATAGCCCATGTATCTCATCTTTTAGAGAGACCTTGTGTGTAATGAGATTCAGAATGAGAGTAACCATAAATGGTGAAATTTTGGTACAGGAAGAAGCCTTGAGGGGCAGATTTGAACAAGGGATCACAGAATCACTATCTGTATTTTAATTCCTGAGGCTAAGCTGCTATATAGCCCTTAATGTGGACAACAGCAGACAAAGGCTCTTCCAGGAGCCATGTGGTCCATATCCCAGGTAGTCCATATCCCAGCCTTCTGTAAGCCCTTGCTTGCTGGTGTAACTGTAAAGGAGTATTTGGATCATCAAAAACAAAGTAATAGTCTATTGGAGATTGTTGTAGATATTTAAATATAACTGTTTCTCTTGGGAAATGATCTAAGGCAAGTTTTTCTAATAACAAAATGTAGCTTGTGCTGGGGTTTTGCAGCTTCTTTTTGTGAAATATGGCCTCAATTTCTCTAGGAAAATCAAATAAGTTAATGGCCTTATTTTTGTGAATGTTCCATGGCTCAGTGCTGTCCTTCCCCATCCCAGGAGTGTTTCTCAGGAGCTGTCAGAGACCATCCTCACCATGGTAGCAAACTGCAGCAATGTCATGAACAAGGCTCGGCAGCCCCCGCCTGGAGTCATGCCCAAGGGACGCCCACCCAGCGCCAGCAGCTTGGATGCCATCTCTCCTGTGCAGGTACAACAGGCACATGCTGCATTTGCAGAAGATGCTGTGGATTTAGTGCTAGTTCTGTATTAGTTGAGCTCTTTCTGCAGGACTAAGTCAAACATCATCTGGCTCACGTAGTTTTGTACTTGCATGTCTTGATAGCTTGCTTGTAACTAGAGAATGATGGCTGAGGGATGTAGTTCAGAACTGTCTTTGACTTCACTGATGTCTGTAAGAAGTAACTGTGAAGTATTATAGGATGGGAGCACTGAGGAGGGACAGATATTTGGTTTACTTTGAATAACTGAGGCTTTCTTTTAAAGTGCTAAAATTTACTAGGACTTCTGAGAATTAAGCACTGCCTTTGAACCTGATGTGTCTTGTTTGTAGCTTCACGGGCCAAGCCACAGTGCTAGAGCATAAGGACTTGTTATAACTGGGGCTCTTCAGCTCTCAACTGAACTGCTCTTTTAAAAACAAGGTACATTTCAGTTAATCCCTGCCACTCATCATCCCTTCCTCCTCTGGGAGCAACACATTACAGACAGGTTTTGCTTCTAGCAATTACATTCAATGGCAGATTTTTAACTGGTGAAAAGTATTTCACATCAAATAGTGACAATTCAGCATTTAAGAATGACTGAATTGTCAGTAGATTATGTAAACTAAATGCAGACAGTGGTTTTTTTGTGAATTGTTGCTTCATTGAAGTTGTTCATCAGATGTACCAAATATCTTGGCATCCTGCTACAAATAACTCATATGAACAAACAGCAGCAATTTTTACTCTGTTGTCATGTTGTCTTCTGGGTAGATAATACCATTTTCTGCTGTTCCTAGTCAGTTCTGTGACTTACTGCTTTGGCAGACTGTATTGTGCCTTCCCTCCTATTCATAAACCAGGTCTTAATGTTTTTCATTGTAGACTTCATTCAGGTATTTAGCTGTGAAAAGCTGGCATAGTAGGGTCCTTCAGACAGTCAAAAATACTCTTAAGTTTGAAATGAAACAGCTTTCTAAGTTGTGAGGTGGGGTCTGAGCTTGCAGACTGCAGAGCATAAACTACTCTAGTACAAAAATCTGCAAGTAGAAGTAAATGCTACTTATTGTAAGCATTTACTGTTGTGTTACACTCTGTGGAACTGTCAGGATTTCTGTAGAACCTGTGAGAGAATAGGATTTCATGGGATTGCAGAAGAAAAATAAGAGTGCATTCTGTAGACAAACTGATCTTTTGGGTGACTTCAGAATTTACAGTAACCATGCAGAAGAGCTTTTCTCAGAAATGTTTTGATATGTAGCCGTCTTTGTACAAAACATGGCAAAAATCATCTGGGTTGTGGTTTATGGATGTCTGTATAATCTTCCTTTCTTCATTCAGATCGACTCGCTTGCAGGAATGGCCTCTCTTAGTTTAGGTGGCTCAGCTGCTCCCCACACCCAGAGCATGCAAGGCTTCCCTCCAAACCTGGGCTCTGCATTCAGCACTCCTCAGTCACCAGCAAAAGCCTTCCCACCTCTTTCCACCCAAAACCAGACAACCGGTTTCAGTGGCATCGGAGGGCTTTCCTCACAGCTTCCAGGTACTGCTCTTCGGTGGAGTGGCTTGTTTTTGACAGGGCACAGCTAAGGCACTGTTGTTGCTGTGGTTGGAAATACTGAATGTGACAGCCCACCCTTTAAGGGAGGGTTGGGTGCTTCCTTCCATTTAAGAGTGGGAAGTCACACTGGACAAACAGCTGTGTCATAGGGAAGGGAGTTACACTCTGATATGGAGTGAGGAGCCCTCACTCCTGGGTCATTGCTAAAGCAGTACTTCAGAATGTTGGAGCTGCAATAGGTAAGAGATCTGAGTCAAGAGGATGAGTGTTTTGACAAATATAGCAGCCTTATTTTAGGTTGGGACAGAGATTAAGAACTGCTTATGTTAAAACTGCTTGATATTAGACAGCAATGAGACTGTAAAACTCTGAGTTCTTGGAAATGACAAGTGCTAGGAGGAGTGGTAAGTGGATACTGTGAGGATGCAATGAGATGACCAATTACTTGTTTTCAGTAAGTGGTCTTACTACAGGTTTGCTTTTCAGTAGGTGGTCTTACTACGGGTAGCCTGACTGGCATAGGAACTGGAGCCCTGGGCCTTCCTGCAGTGAACAATGACCCATTCGTGCAAAGGAAGCTGAGCACATCTGGACTGAACCAGCCTACATTCCAGCAGAGTAAGATGAAACCTTGTAAGTGGTAGTGTTGTCTGTGGCTGTGAAGTGTGACTGTGGTCTGCAGTTAATCTGTGTTTCCTTCAGGGGAAGCTTGGATCTGTAGGTGGTAAATGTTAGAAGTGTGGCTCTTGTATTATTATATTAGTCTGAAAAAGGTGCTTCCAAACATGTATCTTAATAGCTTGCCAAATGTCTGGGGGTGGGGGGGTGTTAAAAAAGGACACATTAGCATAAAAATATAATGTGCTATGGATTTGCATAGTGTGTTTGTCCTTTTTCTGCTGTACTGTGTTTTGAACAAAAGTGTTGTCCTGCTCTTGGCAGAGAATGGTATGTAGGTGGTACCAGGGTGTTTTTTGTTTTGTTTGTAACAAAGTTAAACCTGGGTAAGGAGCTGTTGCAGTAGAGAATTTGACAGGTGAAGCAGCAAAATAGACTTCAGCATTGGATACAAACAAGACAAAAAGCTGGTGGGAAGATAGGTTTTGAAAGGAATAATCGGGTTCATAACACTAAGCCATTATCCTTGACTAATTTATGCCTCTGCAGCATGCTCACAGTGAGATGCTGAATCAGTCAAATGCACAGGAAGCACAGCCATATGCTTAAACCTTCCACATTGCTGTTACAGAGAAGCCATGTGCAATAACAGCAGAGTTACCTATATCTACAGATGGACAGTGGAGGTGGCTGTAATCACAATTGCTTTATATTCTGGGTCTTGAGCATTCAGTAGAAACTTGTTGGAAGCTCACTGGCTGGCCTGAAAGTTTGTGTGCAAGTTTGTGTGCATGTTTGTGTTGTGTGGCATGCTTTATTGTAGACTGTTCTGCATTCAGTTATTTAGTTGTCAGCTGAGGTTAGCTTGGGATGCACTGGGTTCTAGGAGTAGAGCACTGTGAGGTTAATGCTATCTTAGGATGAGGTTTTTTTGAATAAATATAGCATATTGAAAACAGATTTTTAAATAGCACTTCCTGTCTACTGGGAAGGTTAAATATCCTGCTCTTCAGAAGAACTAGCAGTTCTTTATAGATTGGTGGAAGAGTTGAAAAGGACTAGGTGAAATCCTGACTGTCTGAAGTTGTCCTGAGTATGATACCTGTTCCTTTTTTTTAACAGCTGACTTATCTCAGGTGTGGCCAGAGGCTAATCAGCACTTTAGCAAAGAAATAGATGATGAGGCAAACAGCTACTTCCAGCGTATTTACAACCATCCACCACACCCAACCATGTCTGTGGATGAGGTGAGTTCCCTTCTGTAGCAGTTACAGCACCTGTCCAGAAACTTGCAATAAAGTGGATCATAATTATTCCTTCATGTATTACTTTTAGTGGGAAATTATAAAGGGCTCGTGGTGGATGCTGCAGCATTGCTTTTTTGCTTGGTTGAAGTTGTTTTCACAGTGAGCTTGCAGTTGTTCATTACATTCAGCTTTCACTTGTCTGGATTGAAGATTTCAGATGTCTAATTAACACTCCCAAAATGCTGCTAAGTGGGAAGGATTCTTTGTGGTGTGGAAGCTTCTTTGTTGAAAATAAGTGCTAAAGATTGTCTTTAAATAGATTATATAAATTATCTTAAATGTATTTGTTTTAAACTATGTAAAAATGACTACAAGCTCTAGATATATAAAAGTGTCACAAGTTCTACCTTCTGAGCTTTTGATAATTATTTCTGTTAGTCTCTATGAGAGTAATTATTGGTCTGCTGTACTTACTCTTTGAAGTACTTCAAATTTACTTTAATATATTTGCACAGTTATAAATTATGGAAGACACAACATTAATTTTAATTTTTCTAATTTGAAAGTAATGGCGTAGGCGGTCACAAAAAAGTTTTGTGTAAAGACAGTTGCTTAAAAGAGAACTAAAGTCAGAAGAGGAAGCTGCTTGTAGTGATGTAGTGTCTGTCTGCTGTCTAAAATGAAGCAGTTACTTTGTGGTTGTGGTAGCACAACCTACCTTAGCAGTTACAAACACTCATGAGCCATGAACATGGGAAAGGGCTGAAATTAAGCAAACCTGTCGCTAACAATTTCCAATTTCTTTGCAGGTCTTGGAAATGCTGCAGAGGTTTAAGGACTCCAACATTAAACGGGAACGAGAAGTGTTTAACTGTATGCTGAGGAACTTGTTTGAGGAGTATCGGTTCTTCCCGCAGTACCCAGACAAGGAGCTGCACATCACAGCCTGTCTCTTCGGGGGCATCATCGAGAAAGGACTGGTCACTTACATGGCACTGGGCCTGGCCCTGCGCTACGTTCTTGAAGCCTTACGAAAGCCTTTTGCATCCAAAATGTACTATTTTGGTATTGCTGCACTAGATAGATTTAAAAATAGGTGAGTGTGGGTTTGGTACACTTCTAATAGTGCCTGAATTGTCTTGTGAACCTTGAACCTGCTCTAATCGTGCAGTACAAGATTGCTCAGCTTTGGGATTTCTTCAAAGATGCGCTGATTTGAAACAGAATGTGTGAATGTGCTAGTTAAAGGGTGATTTCTAAATCAAAATGTTCAGTGTGGTACCTGTATAAATGTGGGACAAACTGAGATGCTGAAATTACTTAGACTCTATAAAAATCAGTGAAGTGTTGAGTTAGATGAAGTAACTAACAGCTTGTTAGACATGGGGTGAATGTAATTACTCTTCACAGATGCTTTCTAGTGAAGTGCCATTTGCACTGTTCATTACTGAAGGACTGACTGAGAATTTTGCTCTAGAATTTTGCTTTTACACAGAAAAGTATGACTAAACAATCTCAGAAAAAATTCTTTATCAAAACTTCTTATGAATTACAATAGAGAAGATTCTGGGTGTGAGGTGTGCTCTGATTTGCTGTTTAAAATGCACTGAACCAGACTACAAATAATCCAGTAGTCTTGTTGCAAACACTGGATATTGTGTACTAGGTCAGAAGTATAGAGATGTAGGAAAAGATGAGTTGCTGTGAATAAATCTTGTGCTTTAATGTTAAATTAATTCATTTTAAATAAATTTTGTAGCAAAAAATACTTTGTAGGAAATGCTTTATTTATAGCACATCTGCTGTAAGGAGTCCAGAAGTAATTCTGTGGTGCAGAATGGGAATGACACACGTGATAGTTGTTTCTCTCTGATACTGTTTGTGATGTGGGCTTATGCTTGACTAATGCATGTTTTGTCTTACAGATTGAAGGACTATCCCCAGTATTGTCAGCACTTGGCTTCTATTAGTCACTTTATACAGTTCCCACATCATTTACAGGAGGTGAGTGTGTCTGTAAGCA